TTGTGTGTGTGTACATGTGTGTTAGATCACAGTATTTTTTTCGTCCCCAGTCTCCTGCACCAAGAACCAGGATTTTCATCCTATCTTCGCCAACTCGAGCCAAGTGCCCCTACCAAAATATAAACTCTGTCTCCCCCATCCGTCAAACCGGCAATCAGATTTCGATTACTACAGCACCCTGTCCATTGCCACAAAAGCCGATGCCATCTCCAACGCCTGCTATAAAAATTTACGCCCCACCACCTTCCTACAGCGAGGTAGTCGTCGTTGGGAAGTCTGAGTCACAAATATCGACTTCAGTTTAATGTCGAGAACAGCAAAGATGGTACACTACAGTACAAGATGGTTCACTCTTCTCTTTGAGTTGGAGCCTATTAAAAAAAGCTTCCGCAAAATTCAATGGAGCCGTCTTCGAAAAAGTGTGGACTTTTCGAATAGAGTTACCCTACTTGTATGAAACAAATCAAAGTGAAATTGTGATTATTTTGTTGTAATACATTAGAATTCAAATTTCCAAAGAACGCCTGGTTACGCTGATAAAAAGGTTCTTTTCAGAAGGAAGAAACGACTGCCTTCGTCGTTTAATTTGGCTTTAGAATTGGAGGCGAGACGTCATTGATTTTTTTTTTTTTTTAAACACCAAACTCCGCATTGTTTGAACCCGAACAGCTGATTTTAGAATGATGAGCAGCAGTCGATCCGCATGTGCAAGGAGGCAATATTTCTCTTCTCCTTCTGGAGAAACGAAAGAGCGTCCAAACAGTGACTGCAGCACCTTCTGAGCTGACTTCTCGGACACTTGTGTTTTGTTTTTTGCTTGCTGAGTGAACCATCTTGTAGTGTACGATCTTTGAGAACTGTGCTTGTCAACCTTTTTATAGCCAGCACCCACTTTTGCCGTATTTAAAATTAAATTTTCGTACCGTCCACTTGCATGTATTTCTAAGCATACTATAATTTTTTTTAATAGTTCCTGTCACTATCCGGGTGATCCCCACTCCCCACTGCACACCAAAATTACTAAATCGCTCACTTGCGGATGGTATCGCTCATGTTGCCACGCACTGGTTTAGTATAACTCTCGGTGTCCTCTGAATTGCCAGCATTATCCAAATATTATCAGAAAACAACAAGCCTTTCAGTGCGAGTATTTTTTCTTTCTTTTCTTTTCTTTTTGGTGTTTGTTTGCTTGTTTTGTTTTCTTTTCTTTTTGTTGTTGTTTATTTGTTGTTGTTTTTGTGGTTTGTTGTTATGTTGTTTTGATAACAGTATAAATGGTCTGCCCATTCTTATTGTTCTTTCTCTTTCAATTCAGGCTTACATGTCAAGTTCTTGTTGTTTTGTTGTAGTTGTTGAAGTTTTCGGTGGGGACCGTAAAATATCCGTGAGTTTGAGACCTTTTCTTCGAGCTAAGGAAGTAAAGGCGGCGTGGAAAGGAACTGGCCACCCTACCCCAATAACCCGAAGGCCCAGGAAGTTGTCTCACTTACAAGGCAACCCCCAACTTCCGGAACGGATGCTGGAACAACTTTACTTTACCGGTAGATGTTTTTACACAGTTATTCATTTGCTCAACAAAAAATGTGAGAAAATGTTCATGGCGTTTGTAGTAGTATGTGCGCCAACTTTCATGACTCTGGAATTGATAACAAGAGTAAAATCCTCCACTGAAATAGACCCAAACATCAAAGATGGCAGCTGTTTTTACATGTTTTCATCGCAACCAAAGCATGTTTCTAATTTAAAAATCTCAGTGGGATATGATTATCACAAATAGATGGACGGGAAGTGAAACGTCCAGCCTTTTGTTTTCACTGCAGACCTTGGTCTTAAGGGAAATAACCAAAGGAAAGAGGGTTTTAGGGAATGGTTTAATAAAAGTTATAGAACCTGCAGCCCCTTGCTTGACGAGTCCAATCAACAGATCGAGTTTTGTGTTACCAGAGTATGTAGTAACGTCTTTGTTTCAACAACGATACCTTACAACAGGCCTGAAGGTGGGTGCGTTTCTTGAAATTTAATGTTCGTTTTGAATTTTCCCATATCGCCGTTCAAGTACACATATTATGTACGATTTCCGAGACAAAACACTTTATTTTGAAGGTAGCGAACTCACTTACAAGCTTAAATGAGTCCTGTCTTGAAGTAGTTTTAACAAAGTGTTTCACCAACAACAAATCAAAAAATATCTTTTTGGGTATACCGCAGGTCCCCGTTGACACAATTTAGATCATTAAAATAAAAGGAAGTGGGGTGCAGACTCTGCCTGTCAAGGTCAACCAGGGCTGAGAACATCCCAGCAGAAAGTTGAGAAAGACCGAGATACTCGATAATATCAATTCTCCCCAAGCGAGAATCGAACTCGGGTCTCCTGCGTGTGACAGCGAAGCACCATACCGCTACACCACAGACGCCGGTCCGAAATAATTAATAAAGTAAGGGAGATAATAACCATAAGAAGTGTCGTTATCCAACAATACATAGTAAATACAAAAACCGCTTTAATTAATCAAAAACAAAACTAGGGCAACAGTACTTTGGAAACACTATGAGATATTGCGATTCGTTGTAGGCCTTAAGAAAGTATGGTTTTCTTTTTCTTGTCTTGAGAAAATTTGAAAATTTTCTTTGCAAAATGTTAGTACAATACACATGTCTGCACATTGACTATATAAACAAATAGTAACATATAGTTATAAATATTAACTAAAGGCTATGAGGTGTCACTTCCACCTTGGCAACCTAATTGACTATTCAAGTAAAGTAATCCATCCTTTGGGGTTTTGTCTAAGCTTGTGGTAACAGGGTCGCGCACGGGTTCAGGATTGAGAACAGGCGTGGGGCGAGGGTCAGAACTTAGGACAGGCACATGGAGACGGGCACGTGGTCAAAACTGGGATCTGGATTGAGTTCGGGCTCGGTATAAAGATTGAAGTCAGGTTCGGGGTCAGGTTTAGATCGGACAAAGGGTCCGGATTTGAATGGGGCACCCTGTCAGGATCTGGGTTAGAACTGAGGTCGCGCTCGGAGTCAAGTTGGAGGTCAGGAGTGCAGTTGGGCACGGGGTCAGGATATGGATGGGGCACCCGTTCAGGCTTGGAGTCAGGACTGAGATCGGTCTGGGGATCAAGTCAGAGGTCAGGAGTGAGTACGGGCGCCCTGACAGTCTAGAGGTCAGGAGTGAGACAGGATGGGATGGGACACGGATCTGGGATGGGATGGGATGGGACACGGGATCGAGGACAGGACATGACATGACTGGGAAGGGGAATGGGTCACGGTGTTCAGGACAGGACTGGACTGTGATGGGGCACGGGGTCGAGGATATTACAGGACTGGGATGGGACATGGGGTCGAGGGCAGGACTGGGCTGGGATGGGATACAAGGATCGAGGACATGGAGGGGGCACGAGGATCGAGGACAGGACAGGACTGGATTGGGATGGGGCACGGGGTCGAGGTCAAGACGGGGATGAGATGGGACACGGGATGGGGATGGGGCACGGGGTCGAGGACTAGACTGGAATGGGGCACGGGGTCGAGGACAGGACTGGGATGGGGAATGGGGCACGGAGTCGAGGACTAGACAGGGATGGGGAATGGGGCACGGAGTCGAGGACTAGACTGGGATGGGGAATGGGGTCGAGGACAGGACAGGACTGGGATGGGAAATGGGGTCGAGGACAGGACAGGACTGGGATGGGGAATGGGGCACAGAGTCGAGGACTAGACTGGGATGGGGAATGGGGCACGGAGTCGAGGACTGGACTGGGGAGGGGCACGGGGTATATAACAGGACAAGACTGAGGTGGGGCACGTGGTCGATGACAGGACTTGACAAGGACGTCATCTTGGATCGAAACACAAGGTTTTTTCAAAGGTTAGTTCAAATCTTGAGGGGGCAATTACTGATTATAATATTATTATAACCCCAGAGTTCTGCCAGAGGTTAAACGGCAATGAAGAAGCAGATCAGCCTTATACCCCAATATGAGATATGATGTGATGTTTATATTATTATAATATCAGTATTGAGTTCTTGGTCGTAATAGATCTACCCCCGTCCCGTCAAAACACGTAATAAAGTAAGACAAACAGTGGTGATTCACACACATGAAACTTTCCGTATGTTTATTTTATATAAGAACACAACATTAAAAGTTCCATGAAAAGATAAAAGTTTTGACAATGTTGGCAGGCATGTGAAATAATTAATTGAGAACACACATATAATATGTACATTATATCATTATGTACAAATGTACAACGATCTGATTATTTCATGCATCAACATTATCACAGTCACAGCCTCGATCAGCACGTTTCGTTCAACCATCACAAAATATTCTGGAGATATTAATATACGACATGATGTCATATGAATTATACTAGTTTTGAGGAGAGAAAAAAAGGACCACCACAACAGGTCAAAAATCTTAAATTTTAGCCAGAAAAAAAAACCCAGCCAAAAACATAATACTTTGTTCCGTAAGCAATCATGGGAGTGAAAAGAAACTCCCAGGCAGCATTAATATTTACAAAATCATTGTAAAGTCATATAGAGAGAAAGAAGATACCTTCTATTATTGTATAATATAGTGTAAAGCGCATAGAGCCTGCTGCTGAGCGGGGATATGCGCTATACAAATGCTATCTATTATTATTATTATTACTTTGTTCTGTATTTATTTCGATCACATTTTGCCAATTCTCGACGCTTATTCTTCATGATAAAATTATACTATAATTCTTTCTCTTTTTAAGTACAATTAAGTCACGAGTAAATAATAATAATAATAATAATAATAATAATAAATTACACTTTTATTTGTCCCAGAAGGGCACTTTGTTTTACAATGGCAAACATACATACATAGATACATAATTATAAATGCGTACATACGTATATACATACATGCATAAATACATACATAAATACACACTATTACACAAATACAGAACAGTTTACTAACAATGCCACTGTCGGTCGCCACTGTGCA